AAATAAGATTGCTGGATAGCGAAGTCAGGCAGGAAGTAAAGGCAATATTCCATCTTACGCCTTCAACGGCCACTGGATTTTTCTATGATCCCAAATCCTGGGGCGGATTAGGGTTGCCAAGATTCGAGCACATCATCAAACTTGGCATCCTGAAAAGCGCATTAAAAATGAAAAGCTCGATCGACCCAGCGGTCTCCAGCCTGGTTGATGAGAAATGCAATGAAAAATTAAAAAGAATGGCCAACTCACTGAGGATCAATTGGCCGGCCTCCTTGGAGGATATAGAAAGAGCCCGAAAGAGGCTAAAAGCCGGGCATACTAAGCAATGGGCGGAACTGAGAAGTCAGGGACAGGGCGTATCTGACTTCTCGAAAAACAAGACTGGCAATGTGTGGCTTGAGGATTACGAACTGCTCAAACCATCAAGATTTTTGGATGCCCTCAAACTCAGGACCAATACACTTGGCACAAGAACAGTTTTGGCACGGGTCGACAAGAATATGGATGTCAATTGCAGAAAATGTCGAGCCCAGCCCGAGACCCTTGGACCCGAGTATATACTCGGGCTGTGTCAGTACACCAAGGGCCTGAGGATGAAGCGGCATGATGACCCTTGCCGAAAGTCTACGAAAGAAAAATGAGGTGTTTGTTGAACCTACTCTCCGGGTGGGAGGTTGTTTAAGCCGGACCTCGTAGTTAAAAACGAGGAAAGGGTTCTCGTGGTCGACGTTACCGTCCGCTACGAGAATAAGGATTACCTCTCGCGAACGGAGAAGGAAAAGATCAACAAATACCGGCCGTGCCTCGAACATCTGAAGGCAAGATTTAATGTCGGCAGGGGCGAAGTAATACCGGTGATTTTGGACAGCCGTGGCACCATAACGTCTTCCACGGAGTGTAACCTCAAGCGAATAGGTATCGGTGGCCAAACTATTAAAACGCTCGTTCTGAATGTTTTGAGAAGCTCCATAGAGTTATGTAATATATTCTTAGACACATGAGTAGACCCAGCTTTTAAATTATTTATTTATTTATTTATTTATTCCGTATACTTATTTATTATATTTTAAATTTGCTGTAATATTCGGATTACATAGCAAATATGCTATATTTTAATGTCCCTACGAGGGGGATAAACCTCGGAAGTATGGTCCTCGTATCGAGGACCACACCTTTACGTTATTAACTTCTTTGCGATCGCTTCCGCGTATCTCCGCGAACGGTCGAACATTGGTACATTATGCTACACCGGTATGGGCCAAAGCTATAGCAATAAAGAGGAGAAAGAATATTTTGAAGAGGGCGCAAAGGACGGCGCTAATTCGAACACCTATCGCCTACGGAACAGTTTCCCACGCAGTGTTGTGTGTACTTACGGGCACAATGCCGATACACCTAAAAGCAGAACTGCGTGCGGAAAATTACGAGATGCGAAGGACGGAACACCAGAACTAATATGATACCTGGGAAAGAACAGGAAGTACAATGTATGTGTCAGCAGAGAGGATTGGGAGAATGGACCAACGGATGGAGGAAAGATGGTGGGGAGAATGGCGCTATTACAGAGAAAATAATTGGACCAGAAGACTGATTGACCACTCCTGCATTTTTAATAATAATAAAAGGAACATCAATTATTATAAGATGCAGATCATGAGTGGTATATTGGTAATGGTATATTCAATGAATATCGTATTACGAAAGAGACACACTCAAGATGCTGGAATCGCAATGCGGAAGGTGATGATGTAGAGCATGTCTTGTTCAATTGCCACAAGTAGATTAACGAAAGAACTATACTGGAAAACTACGTAGGCAAAATACTGACAACCTGCGATATTAGAAAAGTGGTTGTTACTAAAGAAGAATATTGGTCGAGATTCCAAGGGCTATGTCGGAGAATTACGATAGCTATGCTGCTCGGAAGGAGAACATCGTAAGACCTTGGAAGATCACGAATAGGAAGGTGAAAAGATGAGACGTACAGCCAGGGAGAAGACCAACGCTGAAGTAGGAACCTGCCTTGAGGTGGTTCCATTGTTTGTTCTTGTATCGACAGAGAATAGAGACAGAGGAGGGGTGTTTGGTAGGTAGAGATGCCATCATCTTGCCGAGCCTCGCATTATCCAGTAGCGGATAAAAAAAGGCGGAAATCGCGGCGGGATAGCGAATTAAGGAACTCCTTAACCGTCTGCAACCGCGCCGCAAACTATCACGCATTCTGGGAAACGTGTTGTTTCATTCAGTTACCATCGTTTCGAGATGAGGATAACTGTACGAGATAGAAAACATCATCTAAATCATCATTGCGAATGCGTGCACGATACCGTGCTGGTAACCAGCAACAAAATACAGAAAGGGAGAGGTTTCTACAATCACGTATTTCAATCCTTGGACATTGTGCGACTTACTCATGTTTTCATGTGTTTTGTTTAGATATTTTGATATCTAGTAAAATCAAAGTTTGATTTTATTGGTGACATTATTAACAGGCAGGAAATATTAAAAAGTCAAGTAGATTAACGAAAGAACTATACTGGAAAACTACGTAGGCAAAATACTGACAACCTGCGATATTAGAAAAGTGGTTGTTACTAAAGAAGAATATTGGTCGAGATTCCAAGGGCTATGTCGGAGAATTACGATAGCTATGCTGCTCGGAAGGAGAACATCGTAAGACCTTGGAAGATCACGAATAGGAAGGTGAAAAGATGAGACGTACAGCCAGGGAGAAGACCAACGCTGAAGTAGGAACCTGCCTTGAGGTGGTTCCATTGTTTGTTCTTGTATCGACAGAGAATAGAGACAGAGGAGGGGTGTTTGGTAGGTAGAGATGCCATCATCTTGCCGAGCCTCGCATTATCCAGTAGCGGATAAAAAAAGGCGGAAATCGCGGCGGGATAGCGAATTAAGGAACTCCTTAACCGTCTGCAACCGCGCCGCAAACTATCACGCATTCTGGGAAACGTGTTGTTTCATTCAGTTACCATCGTTTCGAGATGAGGATAACTGTACGAGATAGAAAACATCATCTAAATCATCATTGCGAATGCGTGCACGATACCGTGCTGGTAACCAGCAACAAAATACAGAAAGGGAGAGGTTTCTACAATCACGTATTTCAATCCTTGGACATTGTGCGACTTACTCATGTTTTCATGTGTTTTGTTTAGATATTTTGATATCTAGTAAAATCAAAGTTTGATTTTATTGGTGACATTATTAACAGGCAGGAAATATTAAAAAGTGCAGACTCTACGACCGCGTTTTAATCCTTGAACATCGTACGACATGCTTTTTGTTTTATTTTATAATAAAAAAAATAAAATTGGGTAATAAAGGGAAGTTGCGATGCAAAACAAGTTTTAATTCAGTTACATCATCGAATTTTAGATCTAAATCTCGCTTTCAACGGACAACAAGAGTTTTAATGTATCAGCGAAATTCCAAGCAATGTAGGGCCGACACTTGTAAACTTAAATATGAGTTCTAGAATAGAAATATCATATGACTACGGTGGCGACGTGGATATTGTATACAGCTACAAATCCAAAGGATCCGTGTTCAAATCCTAGTCGTAATTTTCCTAGTTTACATGATAGTTACCGATGGGCCTCGTCCGGGGCTGGAGGGGGAGAGCACCTAACACCGATCAAAATAAAGAAACCGTCAGCGGTCAAAGTCGGGCACAGATGTCCCGCCCAATAAGCTCCTCAGCTATATTGTGATACATAGCAGTTAAGAACTGAAATAGATCTCATATAGTTCTATAAGATAGAATTAAGATAAAATTAGTTCATGCAACTAATCCGACTAACTTCCTACTAACATTAGCCTAAACATTAACTAACATCACTAACCCTATCCGAACCCCGGACAGGAGCACTAACACCTAACAAGCGGAACATCGAAGTCCGCAAAATAATGCTGACGTGGGACCGTCTGCTGGTCGGGGGACCACTCCAGGAAGTCCTGAAGAAGGACATGGAAATCAAGGATCATTGCGACTAGGGTGTGAGCACAGCCTTCTGGGTGGAATAGCTGTATACCGCCAAGGGACCCTACTATCATTCTCCGGACCCAGAATCGGCAGTACGGACTCCCCGTAGGCTCTAATTTTGCCATAGTTGCTATAATATTTCTTTTTTTACTAAAATTTAAGTTTGTTAGCGAAAGAAAAGTACGATCAGGTCACAAGTGACTCGAAACAGCATGGTTAAACAAAAAGCATGGTACAAAGCAAAGAAACGAAATTAATAATATGTATGTACTTATTGATACAGCTATTGCATAATGACGAAAACTAGAAGCGAAAATCTTTTTGCGTCCAAAAACTGCTACACGTTAAACCGTTATAAAACCTAAATTACATAGGAGCAATGGGCACCAAAAAAGTAGGAGAATCAATCAAGAATATACAAAAATGCAACAATGTTTTCGTACAATGTTCTTGTTATAAAAATTTCAAAACGGCAGCATCCAGTCCTGACAAATGCTCTTACCAAATTTTTGTAAGAAATTTTAGAGTTAAAAAATTTTAGAGCAAGGCTAATGTAAACTAAATTGATCGAGCTTTCATCTACCGTCCCGTTAAATTGTTTACAATAAGCAGCATTCTTGATCACAGAAAGATAGTAATGGTTACTTTCACACGATCTTAGAAACTTGACTCGATGAATCGAAGCAACAGCTTTGGACGCGGAAAAGCGATTGACGCAGCTGCAACCGCGCTTCATTCAATGTGCTCGCAAACACGTTCATCCGCGAATCCAGCTTCGTCACCGAACTGTGCCGGCTTTCTTGGTAGCGGAGTGAATAAACTACATGCAACACGCGGTTACATCGATAATTGCGTGGATCTAATAAACGTATTTATAAGGAACTAGATAGCATGTATGTAATTATTCCTTCCATGAAAAAGAATTCTTCGGAAGAAACTACGAACAAGCAATCTATATAAAATTCTATAGTATTATTCATATTCATTACTTTCATTTTTATTGCTAATTCTGTTCATTGCAGTTAAATGCACGTATGTTAATTGTTTCCTAATAGTCTCAGAAAAAACGATTAAAAAAAGAGTAATTTCCTCAATACGTTAAAATATATCTATTTCTAGAACGCATTCGGAATCCACATGGAAGAACGAGCATCGTTCACGAGAACAGTCTTCCTCGGTTCAAAGATCGAACGTATCCGACGATGCAAACGAATTTCACTACTGGGAAACATTCTTTGCAAAAGTAGCCTGACAATCGATCGAACACAAAACGTAGGCTGCTCCGTTCCAGCATTTTCGTTTCATTGCGTTAATCATGCGATGGCCAGCTGGGCGGCCGAGAATCAAAATCGGGAATGATATCGAAACGAACTGTCGCTTCAAACGCTGAACAGCTACGAAACAACGCGATTCTCCACAAATAGTAATCGTATTAATGTATAATCGTATACACATATGTATGTATTTTGTATATCGCTATCACTATATGTATTCTGGAGGATATTTTACTTTTAAATTTCTCATAACCCTATAAACATTCGCAGTCTAACAACTAGTAAATGAAAGAGAAAACAAATTCACTTAAACATATGATGGAAATTTGTTCCTTGCATCGAGACAAAGAAATTAGAAACCATATGTTTCACATCTTCAGAAAATTAAATTCTATTGTATACATCCAATATCTCAGCGCTCTTATTCATGGTTTCTCTTTTCTACGAGACCAGGCAATACATATACATATATTAACGAAAGGAGAGCCTCCTTTCATTTCTCGAAACAACCGGAAAATTAAATATGAGAGTGAATCCAAAAGATGAAAGCAATTAACGAAGGAAGGAAGGAAGACAAACAATTATATAATGGAGATTGATATACCTGATCTATAAGTATATGTAATGAAAATCGAGAAGCGTATACTTTAAATTATTTTAAATATTATTGTTACGTCCTGTGACCCCAGAATATATCCCCATCCATCGTTCGGTTAAGATGGTCAACAACTTTTCAAACATACTCGGATCCGCAGTAATCTATTGCCGTCCTTAGATTTAGATTTTTACTTACGCTCCTTATTGCTCATCACAGTCAAACACGAGATAAGTGTCCCGTCCTATCCTTATCCACCAGCTCTTTTCTCATCCAATTGGCTGCAATGGCCGCTATCCTCGCTGGCTTAACGAAAATTGCAATGAACAAATCCGCTTGTCTCATGCTCCAGAGGCACATCCATCAATAGCCTTCCTCCTCGTCATCACCGTCTGCGAACTTCACTTGTTAACAACTCTACGGTCAAAACGCACTTTCCAGTGTTTAAAAGTTGTTGGAAGTAAAGAGAGTGTGCCGATTATCGTATCGAGACGAGAATTTAAGACTTTCGTTGACGCCTTATACCGCGAACGCGTCTTCTTGCGAACACGGCCGACCAACTATAGCGACATTATTTATCTTCATTTATATAAATTTTCTAATAGTTGCTCCATTTTCGCTTTTCAATCGCTTCTTAGAACTCCTGAATAAGTTCTTGCTTTTCTTCATCATGGTACCGATTATCTTACATTGAGAAGGGATTTCTTGTTGCACGACATTTATGGAATCACGAACATCAGCGGTGTTCCTTTGTTTCAGCATCGTCATCTCGAAATCGTTTCGAGTGCGTATAAGAATATAGGACCACGCGTCACCTAGCTCTGCAGCGAAAGGTAAAGTCGGTTATTTGGTTATCTGCAATTCAATTCCCGAACATGTTTTTAACGCGTGCCTAGCTTCGACGATCGACATACCACGCATTCTACGATCCCGTCACCGATTCGAAACTGTTTCGATTTGGCTGCCACTCCATCTTCGAAATCTCGTAGTAAAGTCCAACAGCTTCTCCCTTTTCTACGAAGACGCCATGGTTCTCGGATTTCTTCCTTTTGCTTCTAGAATGGACAACCTCGGGATTTTCCGGGTTCAGATTCGATCACGATCTCTGTGGATTACCATATTGCAGGCTATTGATAAGCGTTGCGTACATTTCCGTCACTGGTGGAGTTCGATACTTACGAGTATGGTCGAGGACATCCGTTCGTCGAAATTTCCGATCAAAGATGCGAAGGAACCTCTTGGCGTTTGACCGTCGCATCTTTCCAGGGGGTGTTTTTCTGTCCATATTTCCTTTGAGGAAGGAATGTGTTCCTATCCAATATTGTAACTGTCCTATCGTCGTGTATCTCATCTGGTATTGATGTTTTGCTTTAGAGCGGACTGGGGGTCGAGCACTCCAGGTTGCAAGTACCCTCTTGACGCACTGTAAATTTTACAACTTGTGAGGTAGGAATTTACGATTTCCCAAAAAAGACAGATGTGCTGTCCGTATCGTAACGGAAGACCACTCAAAATGCCGAACAACCGATTTATCTAATATAGCGTCTTAGGTCCAATATTATACACATTATACACGACCGACATACCAACATCTACCAACAGTAAAATACTGACATTCGTGGACGACACGGCTGTACTAGTCAGGCACACTAATCCAAAAACAGCAGTCAAATTACTACAAGAATATATCACAAAAATAGAAAAGTGGCTGCAAGATAAACAAATAAAAGCAAACCCCGATAAATGCAACCATATTACATTTGCACTGCGAAAACAGATACCACCAAACATCCTTCTGAACGGCACGCACATATCACAAACAAGGCAAGTCAAATACCTAGGACTCCACTTAGAAACACAACTCACATGGAAACAGCATACTGAATCAATCATAGACAAAATACAGACAACAAGGAGACAAATGCATTGGCTAACACGTCGAAAATCCAAATTAAGCATAGAAAATAAATTAAAAATATACAAAACGATCATAAAACCAATCTGGACGTACGGAATACCACTATGGGGGACAGCAGCAATCATATAAACAAAATAGAGACAATACAAGCTAAAATTCTTAGAACAATGATAAACGCCCCATAACACGTTAGAAAGGAAGTCAAACGGTAGGGCCTGGTAATACCAACGGTCAAAGTGGAAATTAGCAGATACGCAGAAAAATACAAAGAAAGAATAGGAACCCACCCAAACCGGCTAACTGTGGAAACGACCAACACCTCAAACATGGAAAGAAGACTGAAAAGGAAACACCCAGCAGACCTCACAAAGGACTCAACCTAACAAACACGAAGATGGTATCTCGCTGGGGGTAGCCACCCACATGATAATCAAGCAGTTAAAAAATTCTACCAAATGTCCAAATTGGACAAATTATGAATGTGAAGAATTAAATAAAAAAAAAAAACATTACTACAAGAGCACATCACAAAATGGGGGATAGCAGCAATGAGCCACATAAATAAGCTAGAGTCGCTACAATCGAAGATAATGAGAACAATAGTCAACGCTGCATGGTATGTCAGAAACGAGGATATACGCAAAGACGTAAAAATATCAACGGTCAAACAAGAAATCGGCAGGTACGGAGAAAAATTCAAGGGAAGAACGGCAGCACATCCAAACCAGGTGGTTGCTAAAGCGAGCAAAGCTTTCATAGAAAGAAGACTAAAACATCCTACTGACTTCACTAAAGAAATAAAATAGTCAAACTCGAAGACGGTATCCCACTGGGGGTAGCCATCCACATGTTATTTAGCAATTAAGTTAGAAAAATTCACCAAATGTCCAGCTGGACAAATTGTAAAGTGCAAATTAAAAAAAAAAAAAAATAGAAAAAAATCTAATAAATTTTTGATTTTAACGACGGTGCCTTCCAGACAAGAAGGACTCGTGCGAACTACAACTGCCGTACTTTCTCCGATAGGAACAAAAAGAGATCCGTTTCCTTTTTCGACTACGATCGGGCTTGCAAAGTCAAACTAAGACTAACTTCTTATTCCGTTCTCTGACTACCTTTTAATCCGATTATCAACTTCGACTTTATCTGATTTGGGCGCTCCTATTTTTACGTATTGATCCGCTCGTACTGATCGCTACCGGTGTCTATCAACGCGGTCAGATTACAGTCTCCGATCTTAACGTTTCTACGACGCTTTGTCTGTAACGACTGCGACACACTTCATGCATTCTTAGGGGACTTACATTGTTAAATTGCGATGCGATGTGTCCGTACTCCTGGCATTTGAAACACCTGGCTTTTCGTTGGGCAGTTCCCACTTAGGTGATTTTTGTTTCCGCGTAGGAAGCTCCGTCGTGTCTCGTCCTCTTGGATTTTTCTTCGACCAGCTTGCTTTTCATATCAAACGTGTTGATTTATTTAATGACGAGATGAGCTAATACTTGTGATAGTCGGATATATTCAAAGATCTCTCTAAGTACAGAATACAGAGTTGCTATAATACGCCTGAATCGTCGCACGCTCAATGACACTCGCTGTAAGGATACTAGATAATGATCGCCTTAGAGAGCATGTTCGTTTATTTATACTGGTCGGGAAAGTCGGAAAGGTTGACTTCGACTTCGGTTGACGATTTCAGGTAGGGATGATATTGCTTTGTCCGGAGTTTATTTACTTTTAAATTTTGTACGTAGTAACGGTGTCGATACTGCGAGACAAAACAACGACATGAGTCACTCTCGATTCCAATTGTCCTATGACTTATGTGTCGCTACATCACCTCCTTACCAACGATAACATATTTTTTTTGTGTGTAGTTAGTTTACAAATTTCGTGGGTAATTCCCAAGCCCAAAGAACTATAGCGCTTATTCGAAACCTGCCTGTAACGTATCAGGAAATGGGACTCTCCTGCCCGCGCGCGTGACATATTTATTTCTTGTGTTTGTCCGTGTATCGCTTCGCTCGATTTGATGTCTAAGCGGTATTATTATGTCGTGGTATTCGACACTTTGTTGTTCGATATTGTCATCTACAAGGAACAGCGGTTTTAGCCGGTCTATGGAGACTGTTACCTTTCTATTATTTATTTTTATGTTGAAATTCTTCTCTCCGCCTTGTATCACCTTGTATGACCTGTCGCAAGGTGTTTGTAGGGAACTGCGGACGACGTTGCTACGCAGCAATATATAGGGTGACACTGCGAGTTCACGGAAAATGAACACGTTTGTCGAGTGATCGATTGCGGCTTTATTTCTTCGATTCGCTCTTTAAGCCGATTCGCGTATTCGAAGGTCGCTTGCCGAACCATCGGTACGAAAAATTCTCCTGGCAGTCGTATTCCTGCGCCGTAGATCATTTCGGCAGCCGTTGCGTTCAGTTCCTTCTTAATTGCTGTTTGAATTCCTAATAGTACGATCGGTAAGATTTCAACCCAGTTGCTCATATCGTAGCATTTGATTGCCGCTTTCAACTGTCGATGTAGGCGCTCTACCATCCCGTTGGACGCGAGATGATAGGTCGTCGTGCGTAAATGTTCGATACCGAGCAACCGGTATAATTCCTTAACACGCTGACGCTGGCGTGGGTCATCAGCGGGTCACACGTGTCTGCCTCGTGGGTTAGCGCGACGGGTCACACATGTATTTCACAAAATAGACAGTACGAAATAAGTTTATATTATTTTATCTCAACATTATAAGCAGACATAGAATAGTAAAAACATAGCAATACAATATTATAAACTTAACATAATTATTTCCCGTTTTCATGCAATTTTTTAAAACATGTTAGACAGAGTGCCGTTTGGCCCTTACAACGATCACAATGTGTTGTAATTTTTTTGGTTCTTTTCGCGGCATACTCTCATCTTTTATTCTAGAAATGCGTTTATAATATTGTGTACACCGCCGTCTCGTTTTGCTAGCGGGCCCTTGGTACGACTGCAGAAAATGTGAACGTTTTTTGGGCAGTACTTCATTTTCACTTGGCATTTCTTCTATGTGGGGTTTCACTGTACTTAAAAAGTGATCAATAATTTCTCAGCGAAATTTTAAGATTTTGATACTTTTAATACCCCATTTTCTATGTACATACCATGCATTTACGAGGCAAGTCCCGCATATTAATTCTATTACAATGTTTTTATACCATTTTACGGTTCTGCGCAAATAACTATAATAGGATGACGTGTGACCGGATAGATCAACCGCCTTTTTAGCATCATTATAAAAGCAAACAGTGTCTGGCTTTAATTTACTATTTTTTCCCTGAACAATAACACACCTGTGATATTTTGAAGCAGCTAACATACATACTGGTCTTTTTTCAGTCCATTTTAAAAGTTTGTTCGAAGATGGTATCTCACTGGTGGTAACCATCCACATGTTATATTATTATACCACTAAGCTATAATATTTTACCAAATGTCCTACCGGACAAATTGTAAAATTCAAATAAATAAGTAAAAAAAAAATTTTTTTTAAAAGTTTAACGCCACTCCGATTTTGAAAACTCATAAAACCACCCCATTGCCGTTTCTGTCTTGCCTGCGGCGGTAAAAATTTTTTATTCATTTTTATAATGCCACAAATAAATGTTCTTTTTTACAGAAGTTCCTCGGCCAAGGGGACACTAGTATAAAAGCTATCGGTAAATAGTATGCGACCTTTACTTAACATTTATAGATATAGGCAAACTGATATCGCCAAACTATTGTATATCAATGTATTAGTTGAAGTCCACGGAATTTATCGAACCCACCAGGAGTCGTATAACTATTGTAATTTTGCTATAAATTGAGCTCAAGATTGAAAAATTGCGGTCGTGTCGAGCAGTCTAATGTGACCCAGCGCTGCCCCACGAAGCAGATCGTGTATCCAGGTGCCGCTTCACAGACAAAACAATGAATATCGGCGCCGGCGTCAACGTGTTAAATAATTGTGGCTCGAATTGGCGTCCTTGATCGGTTGTTATTTTGGATGGTACGCCGAAACGAGCAATCTATGTTAAAAGGAGAGCTGAAGCAACGGTTGATGCTTCCTTATCGGCTGTGGGTATCGCTTCGGACCAACGCGAGAAATGGTCGATACACGTTAGACAATATCGATAGCCTTGCGAATGCTGCATCGCGATAATGTCTACGTGTATGTGTCCGAATCTGTCTGCCGACGCTTCTGTCACGTAAACTTGAGACTTTGATTATAAAATAAAAGGAGGTTGAGTCGTAACTCAACTATCAACTTTCTTTTATATAACTTTATTATAAATGATTATTATCAAAGATTACAATGATTTCACAGAGGTAGAACGATACTGAATCAGAGAAAGGCTGAACAAGAAATGCCCGAGCTGGCTGAAGTCTCGGCTTATATAAGTTTTGGTTTGGGGATGATCTGCAAAAGAGGCCGATGATCGGGGGTCGATGACTTATCCCTGGTGTAGATTAAGACGTGGTTGATATCAAACGTTCCGACTGGGGATGCTACGCGCCTGGTGACTTTACATCGCTAATACGGAATAACTGTCGTGCCCAGTTTCTGCAGTCTTTGATAACTGACAGCCAGATGAAACGCATCGTCACCAGGTTTTGTGTAAAGCGTATCCCGGGATGAGAAAGTCCGTGGAGCGAATTGAACACGCTACGCCGCAGGGTTTTCTGTACCTACGGTCGTACTGCGTCGACCGATACGTCGCAATATATCTCTACGTTATGGTAGGGAAAACGTCTTTTTCCAGACACACATTTTTCGAATGCCTATTCTCCTAAAGGCCCAGGAGCATGTTGCTGGCCCACTTAATTCAATGGAATGTTCTATGCTTCCCGGCCCGTTAGGGGCTTTTCATTTTTTCACTGCAGTTCACCGGTATATACCCAACGGTTTTTTCAGAATACTACAGCGCATAGAAAACTGCAGCATACAATGACGCTGCCCTTTTTGTTGAAGTAAACCTCACTTCTAGGAATACTCTACATCTGCACTATAACCTAGTTCTCCTGGCCTTTGTAGCCATTAAAAATTATCTAGTACTAAATCAATAAGGAGAGTTTTTCAATCTCATAGCCTTTTTAGGAACATGCCTTGCACAGAATGTGGTCATGATCGGGTTAGTGCATCGAGATATAGTCAGGTCAGTTTTCGTAATTATATAAATACCTATAGGACCATGGTTTCGGAGCTGTGTTGTAACGTAACGCTGCCAGAGTGCGCTGGAGTAGCATACACTGTACTTATGCTATTCCTACATTTATACTCAGATATATTTCTATTCCACATTCATCCACGTGTTCCTTTATCAGATAACCACAACACTTTTAAATATCTCTGATAATTTGTCTACCTGAAAATCCGGAATAACTGACTTTCGCTTGAATTCGCGATGGCGCGTCATATCTTTTGCAACAACAGTACTGACGTCGATGTAACGGAAAATCGGGAAAGAGCAAATTCGAGTAACTGTGGGTACATACCTCAGAGGAGACAATATTTAGGGAGACCGATGATAACGAACGAAACCGAACGGAACTGAACGGAACTCGGATTCAAGATGGCCCACTTGTCATGTCGATGACACTGATGACACCGAAACCGGGTTAACGCGTACGTGCTGGAGCATTGCAATTTGTTCTAACGGACTCACGGTGTACAGCGAACAAACTGAAACGCAAAGTGCAATTCATTCCAAACGTATATCGTGCATGATGTTGATGAGAATTATAATATGATGTATATTGTTATATTAAGACTGAACTAGGTTGCGGAAGAAAATGAGAAAAATGTAGAAATAATTCTGATTTTTATAATCCTGATAATTCTATCATACTGATAACAAACATATATTTAACTTATTTCTAGTAGTTCAAGCGTTCCATGTCATACAGTAAGATTTTTTAGGAAACGTCCATTTTAATTTCCATTCTTTCCGAACAGAATTAGCTATTTTCGTGTTTTTTTTTTATCTAATTGTTTACATTCACAATTTGTCCAGTTTGGACATTTAGTAGAATTGTTCAGCTAATTTCGTATGTCTTATATTTCCACACACCAATTCAGAAAACGCGGTTCACAACGTCAGAGAATGACAACTTACCGTTATATTCCATGCAGGGACAGACAATCAGACTAAAAATTACTCCGTTTACTTGAATTACTCCGTTTACATGTCAGCAAACAACTATTAAACAATAGTTCAAGAAGAAAGATAAAGCAAAGAAAAAACTTACTATGGTTTGATAGGACGATATCTTATTACGATTCAGTTTTTGTTCCCGCTGCGAAATCCGGCGTGTATTTTAGCCGAGGAACAGGCCACTGTTACCACGGTAACAATTATTCGTAATGCGCGCAACGAGGCGCGGGTCAAAAGGAATTTTTAAAATTGTGCTTAAAACTGCGACGACCAGAAAAAAGAGCAGGAAACCAAAGCGTTTTCACGCTCGTTCGCATAAGGGTCCCTACGTGTAACTGTCTCTATACGACTGCTTCGACATGAAACTCGAATACCATCTAAATATTCAGAAGCTGCCGCTTCTGGAATATTGCTCTCGTTATCAGTGACAGTTGCGCGATATAAATAAATAGGTATGGGAATGATGTAACGCGTTAGCGAAGGCGCCCGAAAAATGTCAGGTGATATTGTTTCTTTCATAAACAGAACGCGTTTCCGGAGCGTTTTTGGCTATTTACATTCATTTAATATATTCATTATGCGCGAAATACAATCAGGCAACATTGCAGTTGTATCTTTTTTTTTCATCAGAAATGTCTTTACTTTCAGATTACGGATTTCTATACGTGTATGAAAAATTTAAAAGTGCAAACATACATACAATGTATACAGTACAGTAAAAACACACGTCGGTAGTATAAAACGGATCATCGCTTTAAGAGGACGCAATAAATATAGAACAAAGCATTATGGAACAGAATTTATTTATTAAAATATACATTGTGATGTCTCGCGGTCCGCACGAGCCGTAACGCGAGCCGCAAAAGGAATTCGTCATGATTCGCGAACGGCGCGAGTCACAGCTGTCGGGAAATGGAATTAAAAACCCAAAATTTAAAGGAAATAAGAAATATGACACGTACAATTGCTTTAATATTGCAATAAATTTACAAACAAATGCACATTATTGTCGAACAAGATTACAATCTAACTAAGAATATCGAGATCGTAACATCATATTGCTAGATAATGACGAGTGATTGAAGTTTTTTTAATTTCCAGATAATTTCACTTTTAAACGCAACCTGTGGGATCACTTGATGTTTACCTATGTTTCAAACTTTTCGTCATAGAAAATTACAAGGAAAATACTGAAAACATAGATCAAAAACTCTATTGAAACTAAGAAAATATGAACTTAGTTGACAATACTATAAATACTATAAATATTCCTACAAAGTTAATTATAATTAGACTGTTTCTTTAAGTAAATGCAATAGGCCTGACATATCATTTCTATAAAACAATACGGTATCTCGCCAACAAGTAGCGAGTGTTTTACTAAGTTCTATAATTGTAAACTAATGATATGGACGAAGTCTTAACAACTAGGAAGCTTGTCACGTATTTCAGTAAAATTAAGTTTGAAGGAGCAATACTATATTCAAATAAAATAGTAATAAGTGTTTTAAAATCGGAATTAATGATGTATTGCTTTTTAATAAACTTTCAAAAGACCCATATTTATGTGACAATTGCAATTTTTTTATTTCTCGCTGTTCGACCGTGTCGCGGGAAGACGCGTTCACGATATAACGCGTCAACGAGAGTGGTAAACTCCCGTCTCGATATGGTAATTGACGCCATGAATTAGCCGATTCCGTATTTCGGTTAAGATAAAAGGAACGGATTGAATAATCGTAACACTGAATTGACAGTTTAAATATACTCCTTATTTCTAACAAATTTTGGGACTTGAGTGTTTGCGTGTAGTGCCGCGAGAGATGTAGAAGTGTTTAGAGCGAATAGTTGCACGCAAGTTAAAGTTTCTTCGATTCGATGAGCTAGTAGCATCTTAAGGTCTTCTGATCGAGATGTCCGGTGATACTGAGATCTATAAAGAAAACTAGTGATGGATGCTGTCCGCCCACCGCCAATGGTCGCTCGTGGATAGAAGTCCTCCTCGAACATCCCACATGAGAAAACTCGCTTTTCCCATGGTTTACCGCAATGAACAATAATCGCAAGGAGCGTCTCGACTTGAACGATGCATTGTATAAAGTGAGGGCCTCGATAGTAAGCAAAAATCTAAATCTGATGACGGCAATTGACGGTATCTTAAGATTATTGCGGGTTCGTACAAGTATGTTTGAACAGCTGTTGACCATCTTATAGCATTGTTATACATGTTTCAAATAATAAAATATCACTGCTACGAAATCGCAACGATGTCACACCTCATCTGCATCGATTCTCAGCATAGGGAAAATCTCGCTTGATGGCATCACCATCGTAATTCGTTTAGGATTTCGTTTCAAAATCATCCGCATTCTAGGAGCGTTGTACGGCGTAGCGATTTATTAGTCGTAAACCATCCCATGGCTGGCTGAATCGCAATTAACGGGTTGGTTCACGATGTCGTTACATGGTTGCATCTGACCAGGCGGTTTCCTCTTTTATATGATCAATTTTACAGTCAACGGCAATGTCGCGATGAAGAGGTAGAAGAAATCGAACGGGTAAGACTATCATGTTTTCGATAAACGGATTTAAGTGGAATACTATTAATTGATAACTATCCAATCGAAGATAAGCTTAATTACAAAGGAACGCCAATGTAGCTATACCGTATGGGTATGTCACGCAGATATGATCGAGGGTAGAAATTCGTAAGCGCGGGTGTATCGAATTGACGAGTTCTTACAAACCGTCTACAACCTCGCGGTGAACTATCACGCACCCTGGGAAACGTGTTGTTTCACTCTGTTGCCATCATTTCGAGATGCGGATAACTGTACAAGATAGAAAACATCATCATTGTGAATGCGTGCACGATACCGTGCTGCTAACCAGCAGCAAAATTTAGAAAGGGAAAGATTTCTACAATCACGTGTTTCAGTTCTTGGAAATTCTGCGACTTACTCGTGTTTTCACGTGCTTTTTTAAGATATTTTGTTATCTATTAAAATCAAATTTTGACTATATTGGTGAC